GCCTCAGTTTCCCCGCTGAGGTGGCCTGGGGGTGCAGCCCCAAACGAGAGAGGTTTAGGGATAAACGGGGCGGCGTTTCAGGACGGGGTTCGCCACCCCAGCGAGACCCCAGCAGCCCCCTGACACCCGCGGCATCACCGGCACCCTGGGATCGCCCGGCGGAGCCTGCGGTGCCGCTCCAGGAACCGTCACTCGAGGAATCCCGGGCGCGCTGGGGCGGCCCAGACAGACAGACAGACACGGGAGGCGGCTCTTCTCGTCCTCCTCCTCCTCCTCTTCCTCCTCCTCCTCCTCCAGCGGGACACGTGTGATGAGCGCAGCCAGGTCTCAGCCCACCCTGCGCCGCCGGCACCCAAACCTGCGCGTCCCACCTGCAGCGCCAGGTGCTCTGGGTGGGTGCTGGGTGGGAGCGGGGTGGCAGCCGGCGGGAGCCCCCCCGGCGCCCCCCCAGCCCAGCCCCACGCCCAGGGGAGCGTTTCTGCTGAGTCGGGTGGTTGCAGGCGGCTGAAAACAACCCTGGGGCAAAGTCCGGGGCTGGGCCCGACGGCGGGAGCTACCTCGCCCCAACGGGGGCACCCAGCACCCCGCTCCCCACGACCCCACCCCGGGACCCCCCAGACAATGGGAGACCCCTCCACAAAGGCACTGACCGCCTCTGTGGGTGCCGGGGCTGCCCCACGGGGCCACTGCCGTGTCCCTGCCCCCCAGCACAGATGGGCTCCGGGGGTCCCAGCGCCCCCCCAGCCCAGCTGCCAGCCGGGTCAGGGAGGTGAGGCCCTAAGCGCTTTAGCCACGGTGCCAATTAGCGTGATTAGCACGGGCTGGGGGCAGGGCAGCCCCGCGGCCGCCGGCCAGGGATCCCCGGCCATGCGGGCACCGGGGCAGTGTCACGGTGGGCACCAGGGCACTGTCACACTGGGCACTGTGGCGTCACGGTGGGCACCGGGGCACTGTCACCGCGGGCACTGCGGTGTCACGGTGGGCACCAGGGCACTGTCACACTGGGCACTGGGGCAGTGTCACGGTGGGCACCCGGGCAGCGTCACGGTGGGCACCAGGCTGGCACAGATCTGCCTGAAAACCCTGGCTGCACCGGCTGGCACGGCCGTGCCGTGGGAGTGTGGCCAGGCACGGGGCACCTGCCGTGCCACGGCTGGCGGCACCCGGCACGCGCCGATGCCCGTGTGTGAGGCCGTGCCAAGCGCCACACGCGTGTCTGCGGCTGCTGTTGTCACACACCTGTGCCAGTGCCCGGCACACCATCACACCCAGTGCCATGCAGCGCTGCGGGCACGTGTGGCAGTGGGGACAGCGCGCTGTGCCGTGCTGTGCCGTGTCAGGAGGCTGCAGGAATCCCAGGCATGCACAGCAGCTGGGCAACCCGAGCAAGGGGGATGCCACGGGCCTGACATCAGGGCAGCCCACCCAGTGCCATGGCGGCGCTGCATGGTGCCCCCTCCCCACAAAGGATGGCTGAGCCCGGGTTTGAGTCCTCCCTGTGGCTCACGGCTCATTGAAGCCACCACTCGTAGGACAGCTGGTGGCTGCAGGGCTGGTGACCTGTCCCGACACTGACAGGGCACCCAACGTTGTGGCCTTGAGCCTCTGACAGGTCCTGTGTCCTACAGGTCCTGCATCACCACAGAGGGGACCTGCACCACGACCCAGCCCTGGCCCTGCAGCCCCCAGGATTGCCAGGAACTCTGCATCCAATCAAAGCCCCCAGGATTCCCAAAATTCTGCATCCAACCAAGGCCCCCAGGATTCCCAAAACTACATCCAACCAAGGCCCCCAGGATTCCCAAAACTGCATCCAACCAAGGCCCCCAGGATTGCCAGGAACTCTGCATCCAACCAAGGCCCCCAGGATTGCCAAAACTGCATCCAACCAAGGCCCCCAGGATTCCCAAAACTCTGCATCTAACCAAGGCCACTCCAGCCACTCCTTCCTGCCGTGTGTGAGCATTCAGCTGTGCCTCCTTTTCCCCATCCCACCGGAGCTGCCTGGCAGAGAAAGAGCCACAGTCCCCTATCCCCAGCAGCGTGTCCCCTGTGCCAGCACACAGGATGTGCCTCCTCCCGCTGTCACAGCTTGTCCAGGCTGCAGAGGTCACCCAAGAGGGTGACCCCCGAGCACCTGGTGTGTGCTGAGTGTGCCCAGGCTCAGCTCTTTGGGGTGGCTGCGGGCCCCGAGCCCCGCGGGGTGCCCCTGGCCCCAGGAGGTGTGCCGGGACGCCGGGAGCTATTCTCAGCCCTTGGCACGGCATGGGACGTTTCTAAATCGGGGGCTCTGGTTCACGTGCACGGGGACGGGGGGGGGGGAGCTCCTGGGTCCCCTCCCCCTGCTTGAAGGGGGGCAGGTGGCCGCCACGAGGTGCCCAGCGCGGGCACCCACGAGGGGACACAGGGACAGGCACCGGGACACGGCACCGGGACCGTGTCCCCCTTGAGAAGGGGACACACGGGACAGTGCTCGCAGCGTTCCTGCAGCCACCCGACCCTGTCCGAGGGTCTGCAGCGCGGGGGACACCCCGACCGGCACCGACCCCGCCGCGCCCCCCGCCCGCACCCAGCCTGAGCGGGGCCCTGGCAGCGCAGCCCGCGCCCGCCTTCGCCTACACCGCGCCCCCCCTTCTCCTCCTCCTCCTTCTCCTCTTCCCCCCCAGTCCGGAGGGGCACCCAGGCGTCCGGCCCCGCCCCCATGCACCGGCGGCTGCGCGGGGTCCGGCGGGGCCGGGGGTCCGCGGGATGGGACCCCCGGGGCGGCCCCGCCGCTGCCTCGGTGTCCGCTGACCCGGGAACGCGCTGGTGGGGCGAGGAGCGGAGCCGGGAGATTGGGGCGGGGGGGGGGGTCCCGCTTCCTGCAGCCGCCGCCCGTCAGGAGGGGTCGGGGGTGCGCCCGCAGCCCTCCCGTGCCCGCTCCGCAGGGTGCGGGACACCGGGGACACCGGGAGCGCACGGCCCGCGCTCCCCGCTCCGCGAACCCGAGCGCGGGGCGACCCCGCGAAGGTCACGGCCGCGGGAGGGAAAGGGGTGCCCGGGGAGCCCCCACGCGAGGATCCCGCTCCCGGGGCCCGCACCAATGCGGGGGGCGCACGCAGCCGCACCGAACTGCCCTGGGGAGGGGGGGACGCGCCTCGTCCCCACCCTGCGCCAAGACCCCCGGGCAGGGGAGCCCCCCCAAACCGGTTCCACCGGGGTTTGCCCGCGCCCCACCGCGGCCCCAGCCCCCTTAGCGCTGCAGCGGAGCCGCGGGGGTCCCCGGTGCCGTCGGGGGTCAGGCGGGGTGAGGCGCTGCCCGGCCTCCCGGTGCGGCTCCGGTGTCGGTGCCGGTGGCAGTCCCGGGCGGGGGGGTCACGGCTGAAGGTCGCGGTCCCGGGGTGACCTTGGCCGTGGCGCCCGCCCGCCCCTGCCTCAGTTTCCCCGCATCGCACAGCGGGGACGCGCCAGAGTCCGGTTGGGACCGCATCCCTAACCCCGGCGGCGACACCGGACCGGGGCAGGATCCGCCCCCCCGGGTTGGGGTGGGGGACACCCCGCGGGACCGCGGGGCGCCGTGCACAGGGGAGCCCCCGCCACGCCCCGCGCCCCGCTCAGGGCGAAGCCCGTGGTGCGGGACTCGAGCCCCCCCCTCCCACCCCGCCGCACCGGGGACGCCCCCCCCGCTGCCCCCGCCCTAACCGGGAGCGGCCGAACCGCCCCCCCCGCGCTCCGCTCTCGGCGCAAAAAAAAAAATAAAAATTTAAAAAACAATTTAAAATTTTCAAAATAAAAAAAAATCGCAGCATTCCTGCCGCCCTGCGGGGTGGGTGCGGGGGAGCGGACACAGCGGTCCCTAAAACCCTCACGGACACCCCACGGCGCCGTCACGGCCCGGCCGTCCACGGTTCCTCCCCCCCCCGCCGCGACAGGGCCACGGCCTGCCCACGGCCCGGCCCCGCGACCTGCCCACGGCGCGGCCCCGCGCCCAGCACCGCAGAGCCACGCCGCGGCCCGGACCCCGCCACGCCGCCACGCCACGGCCACGGGGGGGCCGCGGGGCCGGGGGGCCACGGCCGGGGGGGGGCTGCCCCCGTGGCGCGGCGTGGCGGGCGGGGGGCAGCGCCGTGCCCCGCATGCAGCAGCCGCGGGTGCGCTGGGGGTGGGGGGCGCGGTGCCCCCCCCCCCACCCGCCCCCCACGGGGGAACGCGGCCCCCCCGCCCCACGCCAAACGCCCGGATTTTCCAAGAGAAAAAAAAAAAAAAATCTTTGCCCGTGTTTTTTCCTCGCGGTTCGCGGCCCCCGAGCCCTCCGCGGGTGCCGAGGCTCCCGGAGCGATCGCCGCCCGCCCCCCCATTCCACGCACCGAACTGCGCCCGTGCTCAGCCGGGGGGGCCCGGGGGGGGCGGCCGTAAACAACCGGGGGGCGGCGGGGCCTCTCGGGCCGGCGGGGCCGCTCGGGCCGTACCTGAGGTCGACGGCGGCGGGCGCGGAGCGGCGGTGCGGGGCGCGGAGCGGGGCTCGGAGCGGCGGTGCGGGGCGCGGAGCGGAGCGGGGCGCAGCGGCGGCGGCGGCGGCGGACGAACGGCGCTGGCTCCTCCCTCCCCCGGCCCCGCCGCCCGCCCGCTCCGCTCCGCCGCGGCCGCAGCCCCCTCCGCCGGCCGCAGCCGCTCCCTGCACCCGCCGCGCCCGGCCCCGCGTGGGGACCCACGGGGGTACCGGGGCAGGGTGACCCCGGGATGGCGGGGTGGGGACGGTGGCGGTGGCAGGGTGTGAGTGTGTGTGTGTGTGTGTATGTGTGTGTGTGTGATGGGAGCCCTGGCCGTGCCCACGGGGATGGGGTGACAGCGACAACGAGGACGGGGGGTGGTGAGCGCAGGGTGGGGGGCTGTGGGCAGGGGGGGGCGAGGGGAAGTGCCCAGGGAGTTGGGGATGGCACCACGGGGAGCTGGGCACTGTGCCCACAGCGTCCCCGGGGTGGTGCCCGTGGCCACAGGGGTTTGGGACGGTGCTCGCGGGGATGTCGTGACAGTGACAACGGGGACGAGGGATGGCGACCACAGCGTGGCGGGCTGTACCGGAGGGGGAGCGGAGATGGTGCCCAGGGAGGCCCAGGGGATGCCCGTGGCAGGGTGGGGATGGTGCCCACAGGGACTGGGAACGGCACCCACGGGGATGCTGTGACAGTGACAACCTGGTGTCCACGAGGGCAGGGCACGGCTGCGGACGGTGCCCACGGCCATGCTGTGATAGTGACACTGGGGACCGGAGAGGCTGCCCACAGGATTTGGGGACAGCACCCAGGAAGGGCTGGCGCGGCGCCCTCGCTGGGTGGCAGTGGGGTGGAGATGATGCTCACGGAGATCTGGGACGGTCCCCACGGGGCTTGGTGACAGTGCCCACGAGGCAGGGGGCAGCTCCACAGCCCGCGGTGCCCAGCCCGGCCCGGGGAGGGGCACACACCAGGCACGGAGGTCGCACTCAGCCCCACGCCACAGGATCCGCTCCCGCAGGACACCAGCACGTCGGGGGGCCCTGCCCCTGCGCCCCCCGGGGGATGTGGGGGAGAACGGGGGTCGCACCCCGCTGTGGGGCCGCATCCGGAGCCGCTGTGGGGCCGGGGATGGCGGCGTGCACCGGGAACGCGGGGGGATCACTGCGGAGGGCGCTGAGGGTCGCCCCCCGGAGCCCCCCGACCCGCCCGTGCCACCCCACCCCCGTTCCCAGCAGCCCCTGCTCCCAGCCCCCCCTTTTCCTCCCCGGACTACACGTCCCGTCATGCCCGGGCTTAAAGCGGCTCTGCCGCCCCCCACCCCCGCCCCCAGCCCCGCAGCTCGGCCCTGCGACCCCCGAGGGGGTCGGTGTGGCCGCCCCCCAGCCCCCAGCCCCGTGGGTACCCCCCTCCCTGGGCTGCAGGGGCGGTGCGGTGACACCCAGGGGAATGGGGGTCCCCAAGGGATGAAGGCTTCTGGGAGAGGAGGGTCCCCAAGGGATGAAGGTTTCCTCGGCACGGGTGTGCCCAGGGGATGCTTTCCCATACTCGGGGGGTGCAGGGAAGGGGGGTCCCCAGCGGCTCTCAGGGCACGGTGCTGCTCAGAACGGGGACAACAAGGGGACAGCGCTACCCTGGGAACAGGGATCTCCAGGGGATGGCGGTCCCCAGGTCATGGGGACACCCAGGGAATGGAGGACAGTGACACCAGTGACACCTGGGACTGCTGGTGGCTGTCCCCACAAACCCCGAGGGACACCCCAGGACCTCCTGCTCCGCTGGTCCCCACAGCCCCGTGTCCCCACAGCCCCCACGGATCCCCCCGCTCCCTGGGTCACCCTGGGGCCCTCCTGGCCTGCCCGGCGCTCCCAGCGTGGCGGGGCAGCGGCAGCGTGACGGCCCCCCCGGCCCTCCCCGCCTGTTCCGTACACTTTATCCTCAGCAAACACGGCACGGCCGCGGCCCCCCGCAGCCGTCTGCCCGCGATAAGGCCGTGGCCGAGCTTGCCTGCCCCCAGCCCCGTCTCAGCACCACCTCATGTCCCCAAATCCCCTGCCCGAGGCTGCCTGGCAGCCCCCATCGCAGTGGGGAAACTGAGGCAGGGCTGGAGTTTGCCTGTGGCCCCTCTGGAGCGCATGGACCTCTCGCATTCATCACCAGCTCTCTGTGCCCTGTGAGGTGCCACCAGGGCCACCACAGCTCCCTCTGCACTGCCCCAGAAGGGTGAGGACCCTGTGCCCTGTGGCTGACCCTGATTTGGGGGGATTTGGGATTTAGAGGGGCTGTGCTGCTCTTGGGGCGCAGACACTCAGCCGAAACACGCTCAATAAAATTCATCCTGCTGCTCTGCTGCAGAGACACTAAATATAGCCCCAAATCAGCAGTGGTGCCCCCCCAGGACCCCCGGGAAGGGGATGACACCCAGCACCTCCATCCCCAGCATTGAACACCCCCATGGGGCAGCACCCACCACCAGCTTGGGGGGGTCCCAGCCCCACTGATCAAACCCTTCACACCCCACCAAACACCCGTCACCAGCCATGTGCCCCCCAGCAGGACGTGCCAGCAGTGCCCCCGTGGGAAGGGGGAGCCCCCCACGCTGGCCCCCGCTCGCCCCTCGCCTGCCCCCGGCGCTGGGAACGGCCCCGGCCCCTTCCGGCCCCCCCCCCCCCCCCGGCCCCGGGCCGGAGGCAGCTGTGCCGGGGCGCCCTGCCAAGCACCGAAACCTCGACGCCTTCCCCCCAACCCGGGGAGCTGCGACCCCCCAAGCACACCCTGCCACCCCCCACCACCCCCTTGCCCCCTGAATTTGGGGGTACCGTGCCAAGGAGGGAGGGGGGTCCACCACAACCTGAAGATCCCCGTGTTGTGTTTTCCTCGGCCAGCTGTGGGAAGCGGCCCCCCCTGCACAGGAAATCCCTCCTCACGGCCAGGGCTGCCCCCGGCGGGACCCCCCCTCTCTGCCGGGGCCCCTCGCCGGCTGGGCAGCGCTGCTCGCCCGCCTAATCCCGGCCCCGGCACGGGCGGATTTGCTGCGTCCCGGCCCCATGAATGATTAACCGGGGAATTAAGGGGCCGAGAAGCCCCCTCCGCCCCACCATTACCCTCCTTGGAAAATGGGGGCAGTGGGTGACTGAGCCTCCACCTCAGCCCCATGGGGGTCTTCGCCCTCCTTCTGAGCCTTGGGGTTCTCCTCTGGGGGTACTGACAGTGTTGGGGGTGCTGAGGGTTTTGGGGGGGTTTTGGGGGTGCTAGAGGTGTTGGGGGGCTACTGGGGGCGTTCTGGGGGGGTTGGTGAGCTGGGAATACAGAGGGGGGGGCGCTGGCAGTTCTGGGGGGCTGTGCCCCGGCCTTGCTCCCCATCCTCCCGTTGCCATGGCAACGACTGGCACCATCCCTGGGGATATTTTTAGCTGCTGGTGCTGCAGGGAGGGGGTGGGGGGCAGCCCGGGCCCATGGCTGTGCCACGTGTGTGCACACACGTGTCTGTGTCTGCAGCACAGGGCCGTGCACACCCGCGTGTGCCCACCCCTGCACTGGGGCCTGTGTGTGCAACACCTGCCCGGGGCTGCTGGTGTCTGCACACGTGTGCAAGAACACACTCGTGCACACACACACATTCCTGTGCATCCACACGTGTGAACTCACCTGCCTGTGTGCGTGCACACATTTGCACACCTGCACACACGCCCAGAGATGTGCTGGGAGACCTGTGCTGCCACCCCAGAGCCTTTGCACACTCCCCCCTCATGTGCACCATGTTTGCACATCCCTTGTTTTTGCACTCACCTTTTATTTCTACATCCCCTGTTCTCACACTCACCCTGTTTTTGCACGACTCCTGCTTTTCACATCCACACCATATTTGCACCTTCCCCCTGTGTTTGTACCCCCCCACCTTCCCACACCCCTGCTATTTGCACACCATGCCCTGTTTGCACACCGTGTTTGCACACACACCCTATTTGCACACTCACCCCCAGTGTTTGCATAGTCAAGTCCTATTTCCTCACTCAGCCCCACGTTTCAACACACACATACACACACACACCCCGCGTCAACCATCTCTCCCCCGTTTGCTCACCCACACATTGTTTGCACTCTCCCCCCGCTGTTTGCACACTCGCCCCCCGTTCGCACCCACCCTTTGCACACTCACTCCCGCCCCCGCCCGACCTACCCCTATCGAACTACAACTCCCATCACCCCCCGCGCCCGCCCTGCCCGGCCGCCCAATCAGCGTGCGACTTGTTGGCAGGTGCCGCAATGGCGGTGCCCAGGCGCTGAGGGCGTCGCCGGGCCGCGGTGAGGGGCGGTGGGACCCGGCAGGACCCGCGGGCACCGAACCTCGGGGGCACCGAGGGGCTCCGGGGCGGCTCCGAGCTCCTCCAGGCCCGGGGAGCGGGCACACCCCGATCTGCGGCCGCCCGAAACCGCTGGGCCGCTTCCCCGCGCTCGCCGGCCCGCTCTGGGGTCAGAGCCCCGTCCCCCTCGCCTTGAGCTGTCCGTCCGCAGGGTGACCATGAAGGTGGTGAACCTGAAGCAGGCCATCCTGCAGGCCTGGAAGGAGCGCTGGAGCGACTACCAATGGGCCATAAACATGAAGCGGTTCTTCCCCCGCGGAGCCACCTGGGACATCCTCAACTTGGCAGGTCTGGGGGGAGGCGAGGGGTTCCCCCTCCTTACTGGGCACACTGGGCTCTTTTGGGGGTCCCCACGCGTGTATTTGGGTGTTACCCCCAGTGTTCTCTCCTTTGGGGTATTATGGGGGTCCCTGTTGCATTTGGACCCCTCTTTCCCTTCCCACACTTCTTTTCAGACCAAAATTCCCATTCCCAACCATGTAAACCCACTCCCAACTGTTCCCGCCGTTTTGGGGTCATTCCCTCCTTTTTCCCTGTGGAAAAAGGTGTTCCCCCCTTTGGGGTATTATGGAGGTGCGTGTTGCATTTGGACCCCTCCTTTCCTTCCCACACTGCTTTTCACCCCAGAATTCCCATTCCCAACCATGTCAGCCTGTTCCCAGCTGTTCCCCCTGTTTTGGGGTCATTCTCTCTTTTTTCCCTATAGAAAAAGGTGTTCCCCCCTTTGGGGTATTATGGGGGTCTCTGTTGCATTTGGACCCCCCTTCCCCTCCCCGCCCCTTCCCACACTTCTTTTCACACCAAAATTCCCATTCCCAACCATGTAAACCCATTCCCAACTGTTCCCCCCGTTCTGGGGTCATTCCCTCCTTTTTCCCCATGGAAGGGTTCAGAGATCAGCACAGCGTGGCTTTTGGGACTAGAGAAGCAGCTTCAAGTTGAGCCAGGAGAGAATTAAGTTCGAAATGAGGAGAAATTTCTTCATTGAAAGGGTGTTGGAACAGGCTGTGGTGGAGTTACCACGTGGATGTGGCTCCAGGGGGTTTGGGTTATGGTGAGATGCTCTTGGAGGTCTTTCCAGCTTTAATGATTCCCTGATTTCCTGATTCTAGCACTGCACAGGAGCCAGGTGCTGCTCCCAAGGCTGCTTCCCAGCCCAATTCAAGGGCATTTCACAGAAATCCTGCCAAGGGCTAGGACTGGTTTAAAGATTTGCCAGGCTCTCCTGCTAATTATAGAAACTTGGTGCTGGGATTTTCCCTGTGCTGCAAGTCCCGGGATAAATAAACAGAGCTGCTGCTCCAGGGGGTTTAAAGGAACCAGCCCCACACAGGCAGCAGCTCTCACTCCTCTGAGTGTGGGGATCTTTCCCCTGTTCATGTTTTTCCCTTCTCCCCACCCTCCCATTGGGTTTTGTGTCAGTGCCTGTTTTTTGTCACACGCTGTCCCCGCTGCTGGGTTTGTCATCTCCGAGCTGTGGCCGTGGGGAGAGGGATTTGCTGTGGATGGATTTGCTGGGGGTGGGGGTGCTTGGCTCGAGGGCCAGCCCTGCTGCTGCCCAGCTGCTCCCTGGGGCTCCCAGGTGTCTGTGGCCACCCTGGTGCCACCAGCTCCTGCTCCTCTGGCCTGCAGGGTGCTTGGCTTGGCCTCATCTGTGTATCCCCCAAAACCAGCCACACAGAGAGGATAATTCCCTATTATTTCTGCAGGAATGGGTTTCTCCTGGCTCACATTTAGCCAGGGCTCAGTGGTTTCTTTGGGGCAGCCAGGAGGAGAAGGAGCCGTGTCCCCTTTTCCTTTTGGGAGCCACACGGGCAGGATGCTGGCCCTGACTCTGAGCATTGTTTGCACCCCATTCCCGAGGTCCTGATGGCTGGAACAGCAGCTCCCCTTCCTCACCACAGCCCCCAGAGCTGTCCTTTCCCAAGCTCAGCTTGGAAGTACAAAGGAGGGAGAGCTGGCACGAGGTGCCAGGATCACGGCAGGGCCTGGCAGATCGCTGCTGACACGTCTGCAGCAGGGAGCAGCATGTGGCTGGCTCGTGGTGACACTCTGCGATGGGCTGGGGAGGGGATGGCTGCCACCAGCCTTCTGTCCTCATCCCAGACCCTCCTGGCCAAGGATTCAGCCTTGGAATGACACCCAGGGAGTCTCCTGCACTCAGGATCTGGTGGTGCCTGCTCCTCTTCATCTTTGGGGTGACAACTTCCCACCGAGCTGCTGCTCCCCCTTTTACATCTGGGTGCTCTGACCTACTTGCAGGCTGCTCTGCAGCCCGGGGCCTGCTCAGGGAGGTGCTTCCTGCACTCTGCCATGGCTCAAATGGGCAATTAAAGGCTTGGCTGAGCAGATGGGACGGGCAGAGCCCCTCGGGCCACCGAGGGCCAGACGGGCAGGGCTGCGCCCAGCGCAGGGGACTGGTGGCCCCAAGCTCAGCCCCAGGTGCCTGGGTAAAAGACACTCAGTGGAGGCTGCAGGAGCCTCCTGGCAAGAAGTGGGAGGGAGGAGAATGTGGAGAGCAGCAGCAGCAGTTTCGGGGCTGAAGCAGGAGGCTGCAAGCTCTGCCTGAATTATTCAGGGATTAGAAAGTTGTGGGATTCGGTGAATTGAGGAGAAAAAAGGTTTGGAGTCTCTGTGGTTGGTACAGTTGGACTTTGCCAGCTTCCCTGGGGGATGAGGGGAGAACAGAGTGTGTCTGTGTGTCCCCATGTGCTGACCTGGGACCCTCTTTCCTTGCAGAGGCTCTGCTGGAGCAGGCCATGATCGGGCCGTCCCCAAACCCACTCATCTTGTCCTACCTGAAATATGCCATCAGCTCCCAGGTAAGGACCTGCTGCTGCTGCTGGGGGTCACCTTGCAGCCTCAGTGAGGTTGGGCAAAGCAACTGGGGTGTCCCCAAACCCCCATGTGAGCCTCTCCTGGGCTGGGGCAGACACCCCAAACCCCCATGTGAGCCTCTCTGGGGCTCAACAGACACCCCAAACCCCCATGTGAGCCTTTCTGGGGTTGGGCAGACACCCCAAACCCTCAAGTGAGCCTCTTTGGGGCCAGGACAGACACCCCAAACCCCCATGTGAGCCTTTCTGGGGTTGGGCAGACACCCCAAACCCTCAAGTGAGCCTCTTTGGGGCCAGGACAGACACCCCAAACCCCCATGTGAGCCTCTCTGGGCTGAGCAGACACCCCAAACCCCCATGTGAGCCTCTTTGGAGCTGGGCAGACACCCCAAACCCCCATGTGAGTCTCTCTGGGGCTCAACAGACACCCCAAACCCCCATGTGAGCCTCTCTGGGGCTGGGCAGACACCCCAAACCCCCAAGTGAGCCTCTGTGGGGCCGGGGCAGGCAGTGGAGGGCTCAGCCTGTGCCCTGGGCAGAGATGTTTCCATAAATAGCCTCTGCCATCGCCCAGGGTGGCAATTCTGCCCCCCGAGAGGCTCCGCACTCGCTCTGAGCTCCACAATTCCATATCCTGGCATTTAATATCGCCCAAAGTTTGTGTGAAACCCATCAGCCATCACCTAAAAATGTCTGTTTGGATTTGTGCCGGGTCAGTGCCCCAGCCCTGGCCCCGTCTGCGGTGACAGGCAGCGGGGCCGTGCCCTGACCTTGCCGTTCCTCAGCAACAGCCCCTGTGACACCG